AGTATTATATACTGTATAAAAAAAATTTTTAATAAATTGTGTAACCGATTTCCTTATTTGGGACGGTCTCCCTTGTAATACTTGATGCAATTTATAATAAAATAATAAAATAAAATAAAATAAATTGTTTCATATGATTTTTAAATTCTAGTTTTTGATTGACTCATATATATGTTATATAATGTTTATGTAATTTATAAAATTGTAAAAAAACTTAATTTATAAATCGATTCATTTTTATAAATCAATTTTTTTATTTGATTAAGATCTAATCATAGGATTAAATTTTATTAATATATTTTAAGTTCCTATTATAAAGGTTTTATACTGCAAAAAATTAATTTTTTTTATAAATATATATTACATAATAGTAATTTTATTTTTGAATTATATTTAATATTTAAAAAGTTGTAATTTTTAAAAAAATTTTATATTAAAAAATTTTATTAATTTTTAATAATATTAAAAATTACATTAATTATTATAAAATTATTATAAAAAAATAATTTATTAAAAAATTAACAATTTTATTAGTAGTAAAATAATTAATATATAACAAAAATTTAATTAAATTAATTAAATTCAATAAAATTGTTTATAATTAATTATTTGAGATTAATTAAATTTTAAGAATTTTTAAAAAATTTAATATATATTGATCTTTAAAATTAAACTTTTAATAAATTTAAAATATTTACTAAATAAGTTGATATTATTAATTTTATACTATTTGTAAACAAATTTACCTGCTAAACAATCTAAGAGATTACTACTAATATATTAATAACTATAAATAACTCATATAGTTAAATGTATTACAAAAAAGACTTCCTTATTTACTTTTAAGGATAACAAATATTCTTTAAATGAAAAAATGAACAAATGATAAGTAACAAATAGGAAAATTTTTTACTAATTACGTAACGAGACCAGGATCGTAACGAAAGTTTATTATTAAAACAACTTTATTAAATTTTCTTTAATTATCTAAATATCCTATTAATATATATATTCAATCATACAAACTATTATTCTAATACATGAAAATTATTATTGCGCTTTGCATTATTATCAAATTTAACTAGTTAATATAGGCTACTCTCTTTCTTTGACGGAAACTCCATTTGGATGGCTAATTTGAAAAAATTTATATATATATTAATAAGGTTGACATTATAAAAAGAACTTCTTTATAATCTTACCTGCTTTTGCGCTTCAAAATTACCATCCTCGTTCTCGTTTTCTTCACCATCTATCTCATCACCTATATCTTCATCTGAGATTTCCTCCTTGTATACAACGACTTTGCCTTTTTTGTTTCGTAAACGTGACGAACACTTGAATTTTTCCGAGAGCTGCTCTCGCATACGTCTCTTAATCGATCTAACCACGGGTTCACCGGAATTTATCATAACATCCAACCAAACTGCCAATATAGAGAATGTTTTAATTTCTAATGAATACCAATTGACTGCAACCTCATAAAGCCAACCCCAATTTTTATCTTTTTTGGAACTAGTAGTAGATGATGCATCATCATCGTCCGTAAAGATAAGACCGGTTTCAGAGATCATCCTTTTGATTTCATTTACGTAATCACTAGCATTTACGCTAGAATTCGACTCGCAAGTTTTGAAAACCAAATTTAGATCCACTTCTTGCAAGATTTTCTCGAATTCTGCGATTTTTCTCTTTACATACTCTTTCATTATCACATGATATTCTTCTGATGACCAAACGTTCTTTTTGCGGATAACCGTATCAAATAATTTCCAAAAGCTTTTTTGACGTTGACTCATGATAAGTTTAACTTCTTCAGAATCAACTTCCATTTTTTCGGTTTGTGCATCTCTTTTTTTCTCGAGCCGTAAGTTTAGCATTTCAAATGTGGATTCGATTTCATTCTCCAATGTTTTAAGATTCGTTTTTAAACTCATCTCCCTATCATCTTGTGCATTAAGAGCTGCCATAAGCATTCTAAGTTCGCCAATTCCACCGATCATTTGCCATTCTGACGAAGAAGTTATGGGCAAAGATGAATTTTCAGAACCTTGCTCGGAGTAATTCCATTTAATTGTTTCGATAAACACGCCTCCTAAAGGTCTAAAGAACCAGTAGTATCTACCATCCCGGTCTTGTCCTAACCTGGCAACCATGTAAAACCTTTCATCACGCCCGGATGGATTTAAAATAGAGCCACCGCGTAGAGTACAAAGAGCATGATTCCGTTCAGTCTTATTTAACATATCAAGTTCCTTATGCTCCATTTCCAACTTATCTAAGCTATGGGAGAATATCTCAATTTCGTCGGCTGCATCTTTTAAATGTTCGTGAAGTTCGGTCTCCGCCTTGCGTTGTGCGACTATTCTTTGACGTTTAGTGACAGCATTAGGAAATTCCACATCTTCGCGCTCACAATTCATATGTATTTCCTTTATTTGATTTTCGATAGCTTTCATCTCATTTTCCTTGTCAACAATCTTGACACGTATTTCATTTACTTTAAATTTAATTTCTTTCATCCTTTCCGATCTAGTCTCATTCTCTTTCTTGTGAGTTGCTGGCATCATCAATTCCCTTATGTACTCGCGAAGTTTATTTGTATGTAATGCATCATTCATGAGGTCAAGAAATACAGACGTTCGCTCTCTTGGATCAAATTCCGAATATTCTTTCTCACAAAGAAATTTTCTGTTAGGAAATCTTTCAATGAGAAAATATTGTAAATTAACGAGATCTATGTCGCATCCTTCTTCGGACTCTTTGTAAAGGAAAGAGAGCAACCTAGCTTGTAAAAAGGCTAGATACGTATGAAATTGGTTATCCAAAATCATTTCTTCGAGATCATCTAATAAACATAATTAATTTAATACATTTTATCAGTTTTCTTCATCGTGTATAATAATAACTAAAGTAAAGTTAAAATTTTCTACCATAATTTAATCGATCCCTATTATACGAGAGATCTAATTCCAAGAGCTTCTCGAATTTTACAATAAAATCGTAAATGCTTAATATATCTGTAATTAACACCATATCGATCATTTCCAAATTTACATGTTCAAAAGTGGGTAATGAAGCGACAATAATAGAGTTAGATGTATTGGGGGCTCTCTTTCTCTTTGCGACTGGCCGAGATTCCGAAGTTACCTAATATAAAGTATAATTAATATTACTACATGAACATATGAAATTATCTTGGAGATCATGAATTTTTTTTTACATTTGGTGGATTAGTTATTTCTTTAAGGACATTCGGATTTTCAATTTCATTTAACGTAGTATTAGGTGAACTCGTGTCTTTTTGAGAGGGGTCACTTGTAAGACCGAACCAATTTAATAAAGAACTATTGTTGTTAGGTTGACTTTTCTTTGTATTTGCCTTTGATTTTTTCGAATTTTTCTTGATTGTCGCTGAAGGATTTTCATTAGATTTCATATCTTCAAAATTAGGTTTAATAACAGTCACTTCTGGCGGAGTTACGATAGGAATGACGACTCTCGGAGAGTAATACCAAGTAACTTTTGTAGGTGAAGCTACGATTCTTGGAGTTGGTATGTTTAGTTCACGTGTACCATTAAACATAGTAGTTTTCTGTGTAGCGGAATTTTCCTCTGTCACGGTAGAAGGTGAGTTAGTTTGGTAAACAACTTCTTTTGGTGAATCAGAGTCACGTGTTTCAGACTGTAACCAACGTTTTATTATTTCAGATTCTTTCGAAGCAGGCAGTTGAGTATTAGAAACTTCACTTAAAGCTATCCTTTTAGGTTTTGAACGATTACTTAAGACTTTTGCGGGGTTTCGTTTCTCCATTCTTTAGCTAGCAAAAATAATAATATGTTCGTTAGGTTGAACAAGGAAATATTAAAAGACATAAAAACTTTTATACGTCTTATTGATACTTTACAGTTATATTTTTTTAGTTTTTTTGTTTTTTAAGTCGTTTAAAGTTGAGTTTGACACGAAGAAAAAAAATACGCGACGCGTTCGGCAAGCCCTTTATAAAGCGTTGATCATAAGGATAAGCATCATGTGACACAAGTGATACTTAAGTCATGTGATTTACGTTGATTCGTGTGGCTTTATTTTATGAAAATATGACATCGAAAATGTGGCTGTTCTCTTTAACACGTGCGAATATCATCATAAACGTATTACCAAATTATGCTGTAATTCAAATTTGGGACCGTTTGGTTCCAAGAAATAATAAAGAAAAAACCGAATTTACTGCGGCTAATTGTATATTTTTATTGTTTCGTCACCTTTGTATCATTTTTATTTGAGGGCGTTATTTGATAATAATTATAAAAAGAAAGGATTGAATGTTTGCCCAAAAAGTCTAGAACGCTATCATGAAGGGCAACCATAAAATTCTTTTTTGTATTATAAGGGAATTTATAATCTCTTCGAGGAAAAAAAATCCAAGCTTGATTTTTGTTCTTTTTTTACCGCAGTTATCATCTGCAAGTCATGTCAAATGATCAAATCACAAGCTAAAGGGAAAAAAAATGACAAACTTTAAATTCTTTTAAAACCTCCGAGAAAAAAATGGGGGAATTGTTTTGATCAATCAAATTTCCCACTTTAGATTGAAGAAAAAGGAGGGTAGGGTAACAAAAGGAGACCAAAACAGGAGAAATGATGATCCTTACTTTGTAAACAAAATTAATCCATTTATGACCTAGGGGAAGGAGAATTCCATAGAGTCTCAGATTAAAGATATGATGTTCAGTTTACAAAGGTAAATTTTTTACTGATATCATTCAAATAGAATTCTAACTCTATTTATTCTAATCACATGAAATCCTTAATGTCATTATTTGAGGCAAATATGACATAATATAAAATAACACATTTATTAGGTTTGGGCACAAATTAGATCACTCCATAAATAAAAGAATAAAAAGAATTTTTCAACAAAATCTCCGCCCTTTTGACTTTTGGTATGATATTTTTTTTTTTTAAATGTACTCGAATATATAATTATTTGATCTATCGATTTGTTCAAGTACGATTGTTAGAAAACTTTTTATAAAATAACCCCTCACGACTATCTTCAGCATTTCGACTTATCTTAAATTTCCCCCTCAAATTTTTTTTCCTTGAATTATTTAAATATATATAAAGTATTTATATCTATCTATCTATCCATTAACCACACATTCTTCAAAATTTTTATCATCAATGTCGAAGATTATGTCCAAAGCATCAAAGAACAGCAAAGGTAAAGGAATAAAACCAAAAATATTTACGTTTTATACAAATTAAAATGCCATATTAATTCTTATTCGATTTCGCTTCATATTAGTAAATATAAAATCTGTTTTATTACAAATTCAACTTCAACAATATTTACCGATTTTTCAGAGAAATGAAATTGATTTTACAACCTTCTTGACATTAAATGAACAATCCTTAAAATCCATTGGAGTCAAGAATGAATCTCATTGTAAAATATTATTGATGTATATTAGGAAGTTACAACAGTTCTTATTAACACCTGCGCAAACTGAAAGCCATATGTCTTCAATCGTGGAAAATGAAAATGATAATCGTTCGACACGTGAATCCAATGATGATGAACTGATCAAGGATGATGGTCAACTTACCGTCGGTAATAATTTGACCGCATTAACGCCTATCACGGAAGAAGAGGAACCGTTAACAAATGTTGTTAATGAGGAGGAAATCAATGACTTCACGGACGTAACGCACAGCAATGTCGTAGTTGACGATCAAAAGTCACAGATTGCTGCGCCAATAATATCGGATTCTTCAACAACTAGTAGTACTGATATCGCTGATGATCAGGATACAAATGAAGAGCAATCAGAAGATAATTATACGCCAATATCTTTAACTTCTCGGGGACGTAAACATAACAGCACAGATGATGAACTTATTTCAGCTATGAGACGACATCGTGGCGCAGCTGTCCGAAATACGAATTGGCGCCTTTCTATGCCCGTGACTAGTAGTGAATTACCCTCTTATTTCGATGTTGTTGATCGACAACACCACAGAAATAAAAGTGAATTTCATGAAGAATTACCTTCCTATTCTTGCACCGTACAAAAGAGTGGTTATATTTTAAAGAAAAATGAATTCTCCTCAAAAGGAGTTAAATCGAGAGATAGATCATGGAAACACTTATACATATATTTATGGGGAACTCTTCTACGTGTATATAAAAGCGAACCAATTGATTTTAACGTAAGTTTGTTTTCAACAAAACATAGCTATTACGCGCTTCTTTTCCTTATTAATTTTTTATTTTTTTATTTTTAGCGAGTAAATCCAATTCGCGAGTTTAGTATGTTAAACGCTCAAATAGGTTTAGCATCAGATTATCTCAAGAAAAGAAATGTGATAAGAATACGAGTTTCTACTGGTCATCAATTTATATTTCAAACACAGAGTCGTGATGAATGTGTTTCATGGATAGAAGTATTGCAATCTTCTGTAAATATTTCATCTACTTTGGATGAAAGAGAAATGCCAATGTTTATTACCTTACCTACAAGACGACGCAGAGTTAATGCATCTATGATAACTACTTCATCGTCGTTATCATCAATGAATTATGAAGGTAGTGGTACACCGTTGATAAATTATTCATTAATGCCAGTTTCTTCTTCAGGTTTAACTTTACAACAATATAATGAAATGGCAAGAGAATTGCAGCAAGTTCAAATTACTGGAGTTTTACCGCAACAACAATTATCCTGGTAATTGTTTTCAAAATAAGGAATTATAAGCAAATATCTAAGGACAATTTTTTATGTAATAAGCAACAATATATTTTTTTATATTTTTTATCTCATAGATAATTTTAGCATTATTATCAATTTTTGTATCATAACTTGTGTGCTTGTCATGTATTTTTAATTTATCTTTCTAATTTATGTTTAGAAATATCAATATTTTAAGATGTAAGAATAAGTTATATTATTCTTTAAATATTATTTAGCAAAACAATTTTTATCAATGTAATTAAATTAATTTCTGGAAAAAAAAAAATATATAAATATAATTGTTGAGAAACGAGTTGTTAAGGACCAAATTTTAAAGTGATACCAATGATTCGCATTCGCAAGGATGAGATTTTATAATTTTATTATAATTTAACCAAAAAAAAAAAAGAAAAATACGATTCTATTATCTCGATCAAAATACATCATATTTATTTGAAAACTGAGTATAAAGAAAAATTACGCTAAAAAAGCATAACTTGGTAAACGGTGTGGCTAAATTATTTCAGTAAAAATCTCATTTACATCTATATCAAATTCCAATTCACAATAGATGCCTCATTTTTGTAAAAGATTATTAATTTCATTGATAATTAACTATTATTATTTTGTCATTTTTTAATTGCATTTAGATGGATAAGAGTCGAGTTACATAATCCGGAATATGTTGCCAAATCATGAATAAATGCTTTATTAAAAGTTAACTATTTCTTAATTAAATTTACAAGTCTTTTAATATTGAATGTGTTTTATATAGGGATGGGGACAGTTCTTTCGACTCTTCTTAAGTAAATTAAAACTTTGAGCGTAGCTATTGATCAATTTAAAAATTTTTTTGACTAATTAATCAATCTTTAATCTAATGACTCTTGCAACCGGTCCGGTGCAGAAATTCGGAATATGCTGAATTTATAATCGGTTCCAGACCCGACTCTGAGTCGCTCTTTTTGGCTGTTTCCATCTCTAGTTTTATATATAAAATACCATTTTAACCAATGGTTTTTGGTAATAGAATCAATAAATTCTTTTATAGGTAAACTTGATAAATTAATATTTTACTTTGTAGTAAGAAAAATTTATTATATGCATAAATTGATATATTAACTATAATATAATTTATTTAAAATCAAAGAAATAATAAAATACAAATATAAAAAGCGTTAATATAAATTGGGAAGTTTGCTAGGAAAATTAGGCTCGGGGAATTTTTTTTTTGACATTTTAATTTAATAACATCAAAAACTAAAATGCAATAAAAATCAAAATTTTGTTAATATAGTAGTAATTTTATAATAAATTTTATCTTACCTAAAATTTAAATAAATTAAAGTTAACATTAGAGATTAAATTATTCAAATCAAATGTAAAAATATTAAAACTATTATAAAATATTAAAATTATTACAAATATTAAAATTTAAATATTATTAATATTTTTAATCTTTTTCATTTTAATTTATTAATTATTGATTTATAAAATTTAAATTACTTTATTAAAAATCAAAATATAAATACATAATTTATTTTCATTGAAAATATATAAATAAATATTAGCTTATTGTTATTATATTTGCTAAATTCAAATAAGTTAGATAGGTAATCTTATTACAATTTCTAAAATATTTATTTATAAAAATAATTTTACATTTTATATTACTATTAATATAAAATAACTTTATTATTAATTTCAAAAAAACTATAAAGAAAAAGAATCAAAATAATTTTTTAATGTTAATATTATCAATAAAGTAATTTACTAATGAAAATAAATTACATAAATTATGCAGTTTAATGATTTTTTAATAAAAAATTCTGTAATATTATAAATTATACTTAAGTACGAATTAATAAATTATTAATTAAATTGTATTTTGACAAATGAATTATATTTTAACAAATATAATTATTTTATTAATAATTTATAATAAATATTAAATTAATATAATTAATTTTGATATTCTCAAAATTAATTAGCATTAAAGTATACTAAAACTATAAATGATTTACAAAATTCAGTTAATTTTTAAAAATACATAAATAATTCTAATTCTACAGATTAAAC